AAAAAAAAAAAAAAAAAGAGTCTCGTGTGTGCAAAGCACATGATGTACCACTAAGCTATGTCCCCAGTCTTTTGGAATTAAAATTTAACTATGGCATGTAAGTAATTCATGCATTCTTATCCTTGTAAAAAATGAAAACATAAGACAAATTTCTTTTTAAGTATTGAATTTCTAATATTTATTGAATGTCTATAAAAAAGCATCAAAACTTTCAACATCAACTGTTTTTTGGTGTACAAAGTCTAAAAAAGAACAACACAAATAAATTCTTATATGAACTATAATGAAAATACCAATAGCACTTTACAAAAAAAAATCTTCATTTATCACAACTAAGGCAGTCTGCACACATGACAACAACATGTTCCATATACGTGTATTGCTCACACTGACAGCACATGTGTTTTGCTTTCCTGGCCTTTTTGTAGGATATACTTGACATCTCAGTGATATTGCTGTTTTGTCAGGAGTTTTTTTTTTTTTTTGTACCAGGGATTGAACTCAGAACCTTGTGCTTGCAAGGCAGGCGCCAGAACCACTGAGCTAAATCCTTGGCCCTGTCAGGAGTTTCTTATTACATTATACAGTGTGTAGTTAACATAAACTTAAAATATCAATAAAATAAAGTATTAAAACCTTAATATATATTGTGCATTTAGAACAGCCATCAACATTTTCACATCAGCTGTGTACTTGCTTGCAAAACCTAAAAGATAACATCAGAAACAAATTTCTAGCCAGGGTTTAGCTCAGTGGTTCTGGCACCTGCCTCACAAGCGCAAGGACCTGAGTTTGATCCCTGGTACAAAAAAAAAAAAAAGAAAGAAATTTCTATATGAACTACAATGAAAATACCAATAGAACTCTACAGCAAAAATAAGCTTTGCTTCAATTGTCACACACAAGGCAGTCTTCACATGTAACAACTGCATGTTTCATGCACATGTCTCACTTATACTGAGACCATGTATGTTTTGTTTTCTTGTCCTTTCTTGTAGGGCACAGCTGACATCTTTTTGGTTTTCCTGTTGTCAGAGTAGGTCTTTGGGATGGTGCCCCTGCCTGTTCACCTGTCAGTTCACCAGTGTTCTCCACAATTTTTTTGCATTGGTCCCTGAATGGGCAGAAACATTTTGTTTTTCCTCTGTTACAATGATCTTTTATGAGTTCCAGTCCCAATCCTCTAAGAAAATTTCTCCATGGTATTTTTCACTCGTTATTTTCTTTGTAAACTAACAAACTATGCTACACATGTTTAGGATCAAATAAAACACAACCATTGGTCAATGCTTTGTGTTTTCAATGACATCATAGTTCCTGCATAACTCATTAACAACATCTACTCTACCTTTAGTTTTGTTGTAGAAAGTTTCCATCTCAGGCTTCCATTTTGTCAAGGCTTCCATTTTTCCTATCAATATTTCCATCATGGTGCAAGGTTGACATTAGCAGTACCAGTTTGTTTTTCTTTGCCATATATGAGGCCAATCTAAATCTTTCTGAAATCTAGATTGTACTATACAATTCTCTGTTTTGAAATTGCAACAATTTCATTTGGAATTTCTGCTTTGTGCCTGTGTACAGTTCCTATGCTGGTCAATATGTGCTCTGTTAGTAAATGTAACATCAATTGGAAACTGGTAAACCAATTGTCAAATGTCACATTTTGATTAGTTTGGGAGAAAAGTTAGTTTGAGGGCAAAAAGTGTGTTCACAACATCATTTGGTTTATTACTATATGAATAAGTACCTGATGGCTGAGTTCCAGGATAAATGTCTAAACTGAAAGCATAATAAGTCTTCACATCTACAAGGGCATAAATTTTATGCCCCCCCAGATTAAACTTGGGACCTTGCACTTGCGAGGTAGGCAGCGGAACCACTGAGCTAAATCCCTGGCCCAATATATATATTTTTTGAGACAGAGTCTCACTATGTTGTTCAGCCTGGCCTTGAACTCACTATGTAGCCCAGGCTGGCCTTGAACTCACAGCAATCCTCCTGGCTCAGTCTCCTGAGTGCTAGGATTACAGGTGTTTGCCACCATGCCTGGCTTTTATGCCACATTTCAACCAATCACTTTTCTATAAGTCTTTTACATTCCTGCAATTACCATGAGAAATCCTTGCTAAGTACAGCAGACCTATGAATGCTTTCAGTTCAGCTAGTGAGATGTCATATACATACATTTACAAAATATGGCTATTGGTGCATACAGTACATTTTACTTGCATATCAGCCTTTGTGTGTTTCACAGCATTTTGTAGAATTTCATCTGTTGCAATTTCCAACATTGAATAGCAGTGCTGGCATTGTGTCTAATACATTTCACCCCTGCCAACACCCTCACTATATCTTTGGACCTAGTTCTAACATTGGATCATTCCATTTGGTTGTGTGGCTATTTTGCAACATCTTAACCAGTCAAATATGTACTCACATTGCTGTTTTCTTCCTCATCTGAATCAAGGAAGTCTCCATTCCTTTGTCTGTATCAGTTGATTTTTGCTCCATTTCACTGTCTCAGGAACTTCGGCTCACATGGCCAATGTCAAAGTTATCATCATCATCATCCATCCACACCACTCTTCTGTTATGAAAACATGTATTTTATCATAATGGACTATCTTCATCATCCATGGATGAGGATTCTGATGATTCATTTTTTACTTCCTTCACAACTTGCAAATCTGGTTTTTCATGTGTCTTTGTACTGAATTGGTCTACTTCAGCATCATCACAGGCAGCAGCTGAAAGAAAGAAAGGCAAAGTTTAAGGGTTCCAATTTTGATCCTCCCTGAGACCACTATTAAAATACCAAATCCACGACATCTTAGACTTATCCCTCTCTTTTTTGTGTATGGTACTGGGGCTTGAACCAAGGCCCTTCAAATTGAAATATATCTCTAGCTCTATTTTTTTTTTTTTTAATTTTGAGACATGATTTCACCAAGTTGCTCAGGCTGGGCTTAAATTTCTGATCCTCTTGCCTCAAACTCCCAGAGTGCTAGGGCGACAGATGTGTAACACTGTGCCCAGCTGATTTATCTATCTCTTATACTGCTATGTGTACTCTGTAATAATGATGTGTCACAATTTAGCCATTTACCTGCTATGAATTTCCCTCCCTCGGGGAAAAAGAGGGGCTTGAACATAGCTAGGAGCCATTCCTTGCTTAGTCTTGTGCAACAGCATGGACTCCATCTGCATGCTGTGTGGCCAGGATCATACACACACAGATACACAGATGCACACAAAGTAGCTGGTGACTGAGGTAGTCAAACCATCCAGGGTCTCTAGGTTCTCTCACAGGTGTTCAGCGTACAAGAAAGAGGCCAGCAGGGACATGACTGTGTTTTCTTGGTAGTACAAGGTGGCTTCTTTTTGTTCACTCTCTTCTGGGAACAGGAATAACTTGTAGAAGACAGGCAGTTAGTCCTAGTTGTAGAGGTAAGCAGAATCAAGGACACAAGGTACCTTTTACTGTCTGGGTTTATGGATTTCATAAAACTTGGACTACAGGAGAGGCAGGTGCTGAAGATAGTACAGTATTCAGCACAGCTAGGACCACACAGTAGGCATGGAAGGTGGGGAACATATATATCTGAGCTTGGGAAATAAAAACCAGCCAAACAGGGTGAATCCCCTGGAAAGACTAATTTCATCATCCCCGCATCCCCACTCACTAGTTTTATTTTTTGGTTCTGAGGATTGAGCCCAGAACTTCCCACATGTAAAGCACCACTGAACTACACCCTCAGAACCTTACCAGTGCTTTTTCTCCCCTCTGAGACAAGATCTTGATATGTTGCCTCCAATTGTGAGGTTGTCCTCCAATGCTTGCACTCAAGCCTCCTCCTGCCTCAGCTTCCAGAGTAGCTGAGTCTACAGGCTATTGCCACAGCGCTAGTTTATGGTGTATTTTTATTTTTTGTTTTTTTTGTACCGGGGATCGAACTCGGGTCCTTGAACTTGCGCAGCAGTATGGTGTATTTTTAAGTGCAATGATCATGCAAATAGTTTCCCAAAGGGGCTGCAGCAATTTATACCAATGTGTATACTTCTGTAGAGATTTGTAATCACTGTAGTCAAAGACAACCCGTTAGGCCTGACCCAGGCGCCCCCCCACTTTCCGGTCCCGCCCCTTCCGTAGGATTCCACGCCCCTTCCGTCCGGCGGTCCCGCCTTTCGGCCGAGGCTCTTTTCCCAGGGCCAGCCGCGGGAGGGGCGGGGCACGCGCCGGCCGTGACGTCAGTGCCGGCTAGACGCCATCTTGCTAGTTTGCGGCCGGACTTGGAAGTGGTGGTGGCGGTAGCCGTGGTGAGGGCGTGGAGAAGGGTGGAGTGAGTGGGCGAGGCCGCGACGAGGGCGGCAAGATTCTCCTCCCCTTGGCCCTTCCGCTTGGGACGGCGTGGACGTGTTTTCGGAGGGATGTCCGCCTTCTCTGAGGCGGCGCTGGAGAAGAAGCTGTCGGAGTTGAGCAACTCGCAGCAGAGCGTGCAGACCTTGTCCCTGTGGCTCATCCATCACCGCAAGCACTCGCGGCCCATCGTCACTGTGTGGGAGCGGGAGCTACGGAAAGGTGAGTTGCCCGCGCCTCTTGGGCGCTGCCCGCCACTGAAGCGGTCTCCTTGGTACCCCTCCCGGGCGTCCCTGCGTTGGAAGAGCTGTCTCGGTGTCCTCGCGCGGAGGTCCGCGGGAGGGCCAAGGGCAGCAGCGCATCGCGCTTCCTGCAAGTCTGCGCTTAGTACGTATTTATCGGATAAAGAAAATAGAATTTCAAAATTCGACTAATTTAGTACACTAACAGTGGCCGGGTCTTGGAACTCTGCACCCAGTTAGGGCCAGGAACTCAGGCAGTCAGTATTGTTTTCATTCTGTGGGTTATAATGGAGGATAGAGGAAGGAGAATGTAGGGAAATGAAGATTGGTGTGTTTGGGAGTTACTTCATCATTTCTAGAACATATCAACCTACACTTGTAAAATTAATAGAAATAAATTTTAGAATCGCGAGTCTAAAATAGGTCTCGTGATGCAATGGAAAGTACTCTGACTTTGTAAATTTTAGTGGCTCTGGATTGGGGAATTTTCTTATAACTTCTGGATTGTAGATGCCTCACCTAAAAATGGAGGCATTAGATTAAGCGATCCTAGAGTCCTTCCGGCTCTGATTATATACCGCCTGAGCAGCGTCATTGAGTTTGTTGATGGTGGTCCTGTAAATGAACTTTTGAGCAGACGCCTGTTACTGAAATATCCAAAATCGAGTTCACTTCTTCAGAGCAACTTCATCTGAAAAGACCTGATGTACGTTAGTGACACTGAAAACTTAAACTCATTTGCTTAGTTTGTATCCTATTAATTCATTAGGCAGAGTGGGCACTTTTCCTTATTGTTTCGGATATGGATTTTATTTGCTGATTTTGTTTGAGACAAGGGCTTGCTTTGTAGTTCAGGCCGGCCCTGAACTCACTGTGTAGTCAGGCTGGGCTTGAACTTGCGGCGATCCTCCTTCGTCAGCCTCCCGAGTGCTGAGATTACAGACATGCGCCACCAGGCCCAGTTCAGTGTTAAGGATTTTAATAAACCATCATTAATCAAAGTAGTTGCTTCTTTACTGACTCATGTGAACGCCATGTGATAGCTGTAATGGAGTAGAGACAAACTGTGCTTGTGTATTTGTGTCTAAGAAAATATAAAATAATAACATAAATTGAATTATAGCCCTGTTTTTCAGTTTTTGTATATATGTGTATTGTCTTCAGATGAGGAATTCAATCAGCTGTGAGTGGAAAATGTTTGAGAAACATAGAAACACGAACTTCAAGAAATTAGTAATTGACTTTGCTTCGCAAATAGAGTTCAAAATCAGCAACAGGTTTATCCTGTTGGGATGAGAACATTTAGAACCATTTAAAACCAATAAAAGGGCCGGAGATTTAGCTCAGAGGTTCCACTGCCTGCCTCACAAGCGCAAGGTCCTGAGTTCGATCCGCGGTACAAAAAAAAAAAAAAAAGTCCAAGTCTAAAACCAATAAAAGATTGATACTCCAGACCTTTAAGAACTGTTGCAAATCAATAGAAAAATGGCAGCGTTTTACAAGTTTTTCACTTGAGGAAACCTGAAAGGCCAATAAATGGTAGTGATGAGGGGGAAAAAACCACTTAGGTATTCCTTTATCTTCATTAGTTTGGCAAAAATAGACTATCAAAAACTATTGAAGTTGATGAGAAACAGTAACATTTAACACTGCTTGGTGGAAATGTAAAAAGGCATAACCATTGTTGAGATCAATTAGCTCCGTGTAATGAAGATGAAGAAATACACCTTTTCTTTGATTTAGTAGTTTCCTTTCTAGGAATATACTCATAGAATTATTTAGCAGTCTTGTAACAAAAATGGAAACAATTTAAACATTGCATTAGAGAATGGACAATTGTGAAAATTCATATATAGTACTATCCAGTGGTTTTCATAAATTAATTAAAACTACAAAACATGACTGAATTAAAAAACAACATAAAGGCGCGGGGATTAGCTCAGTGGTTCCGCTGTCTGTCTCGCAAGCGCAAGGTCCGGAGTTTGATCCCTGGTACCAAAAAAAACAACAACATTCAAGAAGAACATGTTCAAATGAGAAGGGGAACAAGGGAGGGAGGAGGAAGAAGGGAAGGAAGGGAAAGGGAAAAAAAAGAATGGAAGGGAAAAATTTAAACAGCTTTTGTGGGGATAAAGGGTTGAAGGGAAGAGAGGGGAATGGAAAAAAAAAAAGCTATGTACAGGTACAGATTTCCTATGATGAATGTGATCAATATGTATGACAAATATGTATTAGTAAAAAAATAAAGACACAATCTTAAAGCAAAGTACAGACCAGTATGCCATTTGGTTGAGTTTAGAAGGATGAAAATGGTACTCTGTTGTATAGACATACATACCTTTGGATACAGTAAAACACACATAGTACGATTAGTACTATATTCCAAAATAGTGCTGGGTGTGGTAGTGCACACCTGTAATTCCAGCACTCGGAAGGCTGGGGTAGGAGGATCACTGGGAATTCGAGGCCAGCCTGGGCTACCAAGTGAGTTCAAGGCCAGCCTGAACTACATAGAGACCCTGTCTCAAACAAACAAAAAAATGATAAGATGTACTGTTAACTGGGTTTGATGACTTCATCTATTTAAATGCTTCATGATTAGGAAAAATTAAGGCATATAGATAGATGCTTTAAGAGGAGAGTGATGATAATGAAAATAGTGGTGGTGTTAGTGAACATCTGCTACTCTAATTCTCATGTTGGCCTGTATTAGTCCACTAAAGGTTTCATTTCCTTGATACGTGACTGCCTTTTCAGAGCAAAGCCTTTGTGTCCTCCCACTCCTCTGCAGTTTGTTAATCAACTTAAGAATCCTCATCAGTAATGGTAATCACTTACTGGTTGTGTACTCAGGAAACTATCACTTCATATTTTATTGGAAATTGGGATATTTGTGTCACATACTGGTGATGAAGTAGATAGGGGGCTCTTTTATTTTTTCCTATTTTTCAATTTTTAGCTTCTTTAATCCCTATGGACCTGAAGGTTCTTAAATATTTGTTGAATTTATAATCACTAATAAGATTTTTTGTTTGTTTGTTTTTTGGGGTTTTTTTGGTACTGGGGATTGAACTGGGGTCCTTGTGCTTGCGCAGCAGGCAGTGGAAACCACTGAACTAAATCCCCGGCCCTACTAATAAGATTTTTGATTAGTATGTGGTGCTAAATACTGTATATTCTTAGCTGCTCTAATTTGATTTGAGAAAAAGAATCAAAGTATTTTTATTTGCTTTAAAAATATACAGTAATATAAATCATTAAAATGAAGCAATTCTATTCTGAATTTACAATTCAGTAGCTTCTATATTGTCTGATACTGTACTTGTTTTCCTTAGAGTTAGAATTGAACAAGGGACAATATTTGCAGTTTTATACTTTAAAATGATGGTTTCAGACTGACTTTAAATTTGAGTATATACTTATTGCATCTTTTGTTATTGTTGTTGCTGCTGTTTTTTTGAGACAGGGTTTTACTGTAATTTAGGCTGGCTTTGAACTCACTAGGTAGCCCAGGCTGGCCTTGAATTCCCAGTGATCCTCCTGCTTCAACCTCCTGTGTGCTGGGATTACAGGCGTGCAATACCATGCCCGGCTACTTTTATTGCATCTTTGTTTTTTTTTATTTTTTTTTTTAAAGGA